AACGGAAATGCATTTACAGAAATTTAGATAGAGCGTAAGTTCAAAACCCTCAAAATTGTCAAAAAACCGGCTTTTCCAAAAAAGAAAAATTATTGTAAATACAAAGTTTTCCCATGAAATGATCCCAACTCTTAATTATTTCGAATGATATTTAAATGGCTTTAGGGCGCTCATTTTCCACTATATAGTCAAAACCGAACTCTTGTGAAAGTGGGGTTTTCAAAAAGTGCCCTTTTTTGGTCACTCGCATTTCGCCCTCGAAATTTTCCGTTAGAATTTTTTTTAATGAATTGATATATATTGGGTTGATGCATAATTATCCGGACTTCTTTTATAAATGATTTTATTTAACAAAAAATAACATAAATAGTTAGAAAAATATGTTTAATTGATTATTCTGGAGCATATTCACCGCCTACATCAATAACTGATTGCCATTTGCTTGGAAGACGATCGATTCCACGAGCAGAAGAATAAACGATCTTTGGAGGCAATCCACGCTTTAACATCGTCTATCAAGTCATCCAAATCGTTGTAGATCTTATTTGTTTGCCAATTTTTGAGCGATCGATTGACGTGGTAGTCCTTGGGGCTTCTCCAGTTCTTTGAGATCGCGAAACGACTCTGCGGCAGACCATCCCTTTTCGAAGTGGTAGAGCATGATATGGCGAAGATGGATATGATTGTCGACACGCATTTTGTTCACTAAAGAATAACGAATATTTTAAAAAGAAATAGATAGTTATCCTTTCTTTTTAAAATCTTCAATTTTGGGAAGCTAACTCTATTTTGACCACACTAAATTTGTCCTTAAAGTGACTCAATTCCTTTTTTTGGTCACTCGCATTTCGCCCTCGAAATTTCTTCAATGCTTCGATCAATTGAAACACGTTTTAGCCTATTTTGTAGAGGAGATTTACAACTTTCAAATAGTTTATAACATTCATCGATATCGTTTTCCGGTTTCTATCTTTGGAAATTTATGAAAATGTTGAAATCCGCATTTCTTATGCAAAAGTGAAACTGAAAGTTTTTCAGAATCGAGTAAAAGATTCTCTCGTTCTCTTCAAAGACATCATCAACAATGACTACTTCAAAAAAGCGCAGGTTATAAAATAATTAAAAATAATCAAAAATAATCAAAAATAATCAAAAATTATCAAAAATAATCAAAAATTATCAAAAACTATCAAAAATAATCAAAAATAATCAAAAATAATCAAAAATAATCAAAAACTATCAAAAATTATCAAAATAATCAAAAATTATCAAAAACTATCAAAAATAATCAAAATAATCAAAAATAATCAAAAATAATCAAAAACTATCAAAAATTATCAAAAATAATCAAAAATTATCAAAATTATCAAAATTATCAAAAACTATCAAAAATTATCATAAAATCCTTTCCAGGTGATCTTATTTCTAAACAAAAAGGGATCTCTTTGCCGAGAAGATCAATCGAGTGCCATTATCGATTTGCTTTGCAAAATTTACAGGTAAAATTTGCTTAGCCTTGAACTCCTGTAATTCAATTTTATTACATTTATTTTGATTTTCTTTAGCTACTGCTAAAAATCTACACATTTCTTTATTCACACGAATATTATGAAACAAGCAATCCACAAGCATAATCCCTATTAGAGTGTGTTCCTCGCGAGTAAGTAATTACTCGAGTAAATTTACATGAGTCATTTTTTTTCTCGATTAATAGCTCAGTAGTTGTGGGGAGTAGTCAAAACAGCGCCATAATAGAAAACGTTCAAAACAGCACCGTCAAATTTCTCAAAATCCAAAAAACGAAGCCGGTTCAAGTTTTATATCAAAAAATTCCTTGGGTTCTTGGCTAGATGATGGGTGAAACAGTTTTTAAAAAAGTTAATATTTCATAGATAAAAAGAGCACTAAAGATATTCGGTTAACCAACTGAAGATCACTCGACACACATTTTGAGTGCTCTTTTTATCTATGAAAATACTAACATTTTAAAAACTGTTTCACCATCATGCTAACAAGAACACAAGAATTCTGATATAAACTTGAACCGGCTGATTTTGGATTTCGGGAAAATTTGACGGCGCTGTTGAACGTTTTCTATTATGGCGTTGTCTGATATTCAATATCTTTACTTTGGAAGGGAATTTCCCACCAAAATCAGTTAAACGACTGAGTATCTTTAAAAAGTGTCTTATATAATGCCGGGCTCGTGATTTTGCATCATTTTTTTCGCAATAATTTTTGCTAAAAGTACGTTAATTTTTTCCCAAGTGTGCGTTTTTAAAAAACGCATTACCATGAAGTACACACTCTAATCCCTATAGGGAAGCCTAAATATTGGGAAGAGAAACTCATAACTATCGGGAAGAGAAAAAGAATTAATAATCTAACTGGAAATGAACCATTGACCTCTCGACTAGGATACGAGGCTCTTAGCCAGTCAGTCAGTGAAGTAAAAGCTACAGGCACAAACGATTACGATGAATGCACGAAGTACCTTGAGAAACGATTCCATCGACTGAAAAACGATCATGACAAAATGGTCTACACGCATCTCACTTGTGCCACGGATACGAATCAAGTGAGTTGGACATTTTGAGAGATGTGAGCAAGATCTTGATCTTGAGATCTTGATCTTGAGATCTTGACCTTGAGATCTTGACCTTGAGATCTTGATCTTGAGATCTTGATCTTGAGATCTTGATCTTGAGATCTTGATCTTGAGATCTTGATCTTGAGATCTTGATCTTGAGATCTTGATCTTGAGATCTTGATCTTGAGATCTTGATCTTGAGATCTTGATCTTGAGATCTTGATCTTGAGATCTTGATCTTGAGATCTTGATCTTGAGATCTTGATCTTGAGATCTTGATCTTGAGATCTTGATCTTGAGATCTTGATCTTGAGATCTTGATCTTGAGATCTTGATCTTGAGATCTTGATCTTGAGATCTTGATCTTGAGATCTTGATCTTGAGATCTTGATCTTGAGATCTTGATCAATCCTTGTCAATCAGTCCAAAATTGTTCCAAACCAAATTCTTCTTTTGTCTATTTGCAATGCATTTAGAGTATTGGAAAAAGCTCAGAACTAGTGAAATCTGAGTCTTGATTAGTTTTGTTGAAATCCTATGCGATTCATTGAATCTTTGAAATTACAATGATCAATTTCTAGCAAAATTTGATGAATTTCGGTTCAACTTAGGGTTCAACTCGTGCTAGCTGCAGTCACCGATATGATCATCGCCGAGAATTTCAAACAAACTGGGGTCATGTGAATGCTTTGGGCAATTATTTTTGGCAACTTTTTGGCAATTTTTTGGCAATTTTTTGGGTATATCTTTTTGGTCTTTTATTTTACGACAATAAGACAATAGCTTAAACTTATAATATCTTTCATTCCATAGCTTTTATCTTTTATCTTTTATTATTTCAATTTTAGATCTTGCTTTATCATTTTTCTATTTTTAAACCAAATTCTTTGATCTCCCCTTTTCATTTGACTTTTCTTAAACTTTGTGCTCATAAGTGTAAACACACCATCTCTGGGAGGCAAACACCAAGACAAATAAAGCTTCAGCGCAGTAGAAAGGGTGTGTTTCCATTTCTTGAGCACAATGTACACCTTGAAGAAGTCTAAGTCTACACTAATGGACAATGAAATATGATATTTGAAAAACGATCGTCACTTTCGCGCGTCTGTAACTCCCTTGTCTTTACCGTATTTCTAAATATTAATATTACCATTGTGTAGCCCTTGAAAAGAGCTTTCAGAAAATGTATAACACTAATAGTTTAAAACTCAAAGACAAGAGAGTTACAGACGCGCGAAAGTGACGATCTTTTCAAATCTTGATATTTCATTGTCCAGTACTGTACCTTTAAAAGTAGCCCCCCTCTTAATGACGGTCGGAACGTCGCGTAGTCTAACTTTAAACGCATTTTTCTCGCCATCCGTTTATAAAAAATACCGACTGGGGCTACCAGTGGTGAATTTATCGCATACACGAAATATATCAATCACAATACAACGACACACACAATACTAGGCTATATCTTAACTTAACCCACGTCATGACAGACGGCTCCCTAACCCTAAGCTCAATGGGGAACTAAATAGCTTTTTTGGTGGTGAAGGGAAGATGACGATGAAGGATGTTTATCCGTTTATGCTACATCCGTTTATGCTACAGTTTGCGTTTTAGTATCAAATGAAAGTTGAAATTCAGGGCTATTTTTTGATACGAAAAACGCATTTTTAGAAATTATGAGCTCTTAGGAAAAAAAATGATTTAGTAAAAATATTTCATATTTCATTGTCCAGTGCTGTATCTCATATTTCTCACAAACTTTTTTGCGGGTCTTTTTTATGTTTTACTTTCTGCTTTTTTGAGTCACAAGTTTTTTTCAAATAAAAATCAATTTATATACAAGAGAGCCGAAAATGAGTTATGAGGAGCTAAAAAACATCATGAACTATCAGATACTGCAAAACAAAATTAAAAAAATACCGACTGGGGCTACCAGTGGTGAATTTATCGCATACACGAAATATATCAATCACAATACAACGACACACACAATACTAGGCTATATCTTAACTTAACCCACGTCATGACAGACGGCTCCCTAACCCTAAGCTTAATGGGGAACTAAATAGCTTTTTTGGTGGTGAAGGGAAGATGACGATGAAGGAGTGGCTTGTCACTTTAAAGAACTGGGGCCACAACCACCAGACTGCCCTCCAGAAAACCTCTCAACCCGAAGGGAAAGGAAATCCGAAGGGGGTGACCATGTCGCATGTGGGGTTCGAACCCTCGACCTTCCGATTAAGATAAAAGACACTTAACCAGTCAGCCACACGTGCTCAAATTGAATGGAAAAGGGAGATATGGCAAGAGATTCAAACGGGAAAACCGGGACAAAAAATGAGAAGTAACAAGAGAGAAAATATGGCTGAGAAAAGTTTAAAATATCAAAAATTGAATAATAATTGAAAATTTATTTCTTTTGACGCTCATTTCTTACCGTTGACCTCAAATAGTCGGGGAAAAAGCGACGAGGAGTTGATCGAAAAGTGGCCGCTGAGTAAGGCCACTAGAATTTTTGGTTTGATTCATTTACTCACCCTTTCATTTTACCCCTTGAACTGGCTGTGGACCTTGACGATTCTCAACAAAAACATAGAGATCTTCAAAATTCTCTCTGATTTTTTGATGGCGGTGATCCGTTTGGTGATGTAAACAGATAGGATAGTAGGGTGACTGATCTGAAAGAAAATTGATTCAATTGAAAAGTTAGTTTTTAGTTAGAAAAGTTAGTTTATTGAGTCTAAGTTGGCTAGGAGATTTGGCTCAAGGTAGAGATCAAAGAAGTCGCTTGATTAAAGTCAAAACTTTGGTTATCGGATATTTGATGCCCCTTTTTCCATTAGCAAACTTTGAACTGAAATTTCTTGGTGTTGGGCTGTTCAATTTCAATATTTTGATATCTCATTTGATGCGCCGAGTCTTTCTCTATCGATTGGCATAAAAACTATTTCAATTGAGAGGCTCAAAGGCAAGATATTTGAGCTTAAAGTTGAATTGCTAATGGGAAAGGGGCGATGCGTGGATTAAATGTTCTACAAAAACTTTAGATGTCTAAAATCGAACCGCTGTATCGTTCCCATGACAGAAGATTGTTTATCGATGAATCATGTAATTTTAAAGGTTCTGAAAAGAAAAGAAGAATTATAGAGAATATGGACCAATTGTTTCTATTGGGTTGGTGAATTGAAAACTGCGGGCTATTGTCATATGTGACAGTTTGAGCACTCTTCTTCAAAAGAAACCCATTTTGGTGTCAATGGAAAAGTTGTAGAGAATCAAAAATCAAGCTTATATCCAAACTTCCAAAAGATACACTTAGTAGTTTCGCTTAAAATTTGTGCGTTCTTTGTGTTCTTTGTGCGGCCGCGTAATCACTCGTCGTCTGGCGCAGGGCTTTTAGATAACGCCTTCCCTCTCCCTATGTCGAATTGATCTGGCCGACTCCAACTCCTCAAATCGGCGTTGACTTCTCCTCAAATCAAGGCTAATCTCAATCTATTGGGGTTGGGGAATTGAAAACTGCGGGCCATTGTCATATGTGACGGTTTGAGCACTCTCTTCAAAAGAAACCCATTTTGGTGTCAATGGAAAAGTTGTAAGAGAATCAAAAATTAGGCTTATATCCAAATTTTCAGTACGATTCAAAAACTGGTTTTCAAGAAATGCCAAATTTACGAATTTTCACAAAACTTGCATTTTAAGCGAAACTACTAAGTGTATCTTTTTGGAAATTTGGCTATAAGCCTAATTTTTGATTCTCTACAACTTTTCTATTGACACCAAAATGGGTTTCTTTTGAAGAAAGTGCTCAAACGTCCTCCAGGGACATCTCCAGTTCTCCATTTTTGAGTCTCACATTTGTCTCACACACAAACCAAAATCCTACTACGAAAGAGGAATCCGCAAATTGCCTGTAAAATGGGCAGAAGTCGTCATAATAATGAAAATTATATGGAAATGAAATGAATTGATGGTTTTATGTTGAATAAATTTTAGTTCAAAGTGCCGCAGTTTTCAATTCACCGACCTAATATTACATAGAAAAATATGAACGGTAGCTGGAAGAGAAGAAGAAACGAAAAGTGTAAAGGAGTAATTAACAATCTATCTATCAAATTGTCTATTGTTTATCTAAGCAATACAATAAAAGATTAAGATTTGCATAAATAATGCAAAAACGAAACAACAATGGTAAAAGTCATGTAAAATGAAAAACGAAAACCCTAATGGTGAAAAAAGAGAAAAAAAAAGGAGAAAAGAAAAGACACGAGTCTGTATTTGTTTCACTCTTTCCCATCTCCTTTTCCCCTTCTCATCATCGGTGTTGCCATTGCCAAACACGAGAGACTTTTCCTCAATAATCTGCATGAAACCCGCTCATCGTCTTTTCTGCCTTCGTTTGTCTATGGGTTAAGAGGGATTTTTCTTTGGTGAATACAGTGCTCATATCAATCATTTGGATTAGATTCAATTGTTGATCAAGGCTTGAAGACAAGGACTTTAATGTCCTTGTCTTCAAAGATCAAGACAGGACTTTAATGAAATAAGTGACAAAAAAGTCGACAATTGTCAACCTTTCCTACAATGAAAGCTACATTTTGGAGTAAAAGTAAAGTACAGAAAAAATGTTTGAATCTTTAAAGAAGTTAATAAAGTCAAAAACTACTTAAGTTGGAACTAAGAATTAGCTTTAATTTGAGGAAAGATTTTGTTAAAATGTTAAATACGAGAGTTTGATTTGAAATGAAAGAGAAAAAAAAAGGGAAAAGAGAGACAAGACTTTCTATTCGTCTTTAATCCCTTTTTCTAAATTATCCCTTTCACAATCTCTATTTACTGCTTGAGAAAAGATGATTTTGCTTGAGTTCACTTTCGACAAAGATATCAAGATTTTAGAGAACAATGGAAAAATTGAGTTAAAGACTGTCACTTGTACAGAAGGATTCAAAATATTGGGTTGGTGAATTGAAAACTACCGGCTATTGTCATATGTCACAGTTTGAGCACTTTCTTCGTAAGAAACCCATTTTGGTGTCAATGGAAAAGTTGTAGAGAATAAAAAATCAAGCTTATATTCAAATTTTCAGAACGATTCAAAAACTGGTTTTCAAGAAATGAGAAATTTACGAATTTTTACAAAACTTGCATTTTAAGCGAAACTACTAAGTGTATCTTTTTGGAAATTTGGCTATAAGCCTAATTTCTGATTCTCTACAACTTTTCCATTGACACCAAAATGGGTTTCTTTTGAAGAAAGTGCTCAAACCGGGACATCTCCAGTCCTCGATTTTTGAGTCTCACACTTGTCTCACACCAAACCAAAATCCTACTACGAAGAGGAATCCGAAAATTGCCTGTAAAATGGGCAGAAGTCGTCAATAATAATGGAAATTGTACAGACCAAGTGAAATACTGTGAATACTGGAATAGTGTAATTAATTGAACAGAATGATACTATCACCTTTAGAGAATCAGGAAGTGAATTGTGTTCTGATTGGAAATCACAAAAGATGAACAGACAATGGAATCAGTAGAAAGGGGGAAAAAGGGAAAAGAATGGAACAGGTTAGATGCCATTGCAAACAGCATACAACAAATATCAAATTTCACATAGATTGAAGAAGAAAAATTGTGAACACGCACGCAATTTTGTAACAATTTTCTCATCTGGACAAAAGATTCATGAATAGAGAGTGTTTCCTGCGTGTAATTACTCGAGTCAAATTTGCATATGTAATTTTCACCCAATCAATATTTTCGTTGAGTAACTACGAGTAAATCCCTCTTTACACGTCGAGTAAATTGAATATCTATATTTGAAGATAATTTGCGACCAAATAAGTTAAAAGGTTGGGGTACTTAATTTCTGCAATTTTTTTTTTTACGCAACTGAGTCGTTTGCGCCACTCGCCATAACTTTCTTCTAAGTGGGTCAATCTTTATGATGTTGGTTTCATTTTGTAGATCTCAATAAGTGAAACAAAATGAAACCAACATCATAAAGATTGGCCGACTTAGAAGGGAGTTATGTTGCGCAAAGACCTAGTTGCGCAAACGACTCAGTTGTGTAAAAAAATTGCGGAAATTAGTCTCGCCAAGGTTGATCATCTTTGAAAGAGTCATATATCAGTCGCTCGTGATTTTGCTAATTTTGCTAATTTTTTGCAATAATTTTCTTAAAAGTCATTTAGACTAAAAGAGGCTAAAAAATGGAAATTTTGATGAGTTTTATTGAAAATTTGCAAGAATTTATAAATTTTGAAAACTTTTCAGCTCATTTTCTTTTGTCATCTTTTTCAGTTTCAATTGCAGAAATGAAATGCTTATCTTTTTAAAAGTTCAAAGGAAAGCTACCTTAAATATGGAATCATACCCCTTTCGTACAGTCGTAGTCGCAAAAGGTTTTTAGTATTTCATTTTTGCAAAGCGCCCGTACTTTTCCGAAAAATGCGTCTCTGATATCAAAAATAGCTGAAATTCAAGGCTATTTTTTTTGATACCTAAGCACGCATTGTAGCATAAACCAGTGTCGAGAAAAACTCGTTCAAAGCTAGACTACGCAACACTCCGCACCGTCATTATAGGGGGCGGGGTACTATCCACAGTATTTACGGTAGTAAAGTTGGCTTGCCTTACAGAAAATGAGTTGATTTTTATGGACAGCATACAAAACGTATCCCAACTAAACAATGTTTTTGATGATTTTGATTTAATAAGCAGTATTGAATAGTTTTACAAGTCAACATTCATTTTTGGCAAAAAAAAAGAAAAACTCGCTTCCGTTTTATGTTTATATTTCGTTTCTCTTTCGTTTTCAAAAGCAAAATTTGCCACTCTTGAAAGCGCTGACTAAAAGAAAATCTCGGTGGAGTGAAATTTGAACGAGAAAAATGATAGTAAGAGAAATGCTGAGAAGAAAAGGAAATAGAAAGGGTCAGTGGATGAAAAGGGAAAAATTGAGAGTAAGAGGGGAAAGGTTTGGAAAGGAAAAAAAAGGGAAATTGAGGATGGCAAAAATCGAGGAGAGAAATGAAAGGTGAGAGAGACAGCTGTGCATACTGCATGATTTTTCTCTCTAGTTCCTCCAGCAGATTTCCCTCAACGTTTTTGTAGGCTGAAATTTGACTCTACAAAGATGAATGGATGCCTAAATACTTGCAAATAGTTCGAACTGCTCGCTTTGCATTTTCCCATTTTATTTGTCATAAATCCAAGCTTCAAGCTTTAATTTGTAAAAATTAATTCTGTAAACAGAAAATTTCCTCAATTTCCTCACTATCATACAAAAAAAGCAATCATTTTTATATTCGATTGTCATCAGAAAAAAAATGGGGAAAGGTTCTTTTGACCTTTTATATTTCTCTCGATCAGTTTTCTCTCTTCAAATTCTCTCGTTTTTCCTCCACAAAACTATTTAAGGGCAATCATTTTTGGGTTCTCCGCTCATTTTATCTTTTGAACAAAGCTTTTTATGTTACCAAACATTATAAATACCGTATTTACTCTATTGAGTGGGGTCCCCTACTCATTCTTTCAATCCCCCTCCAGACGACCCCACTATTAGAAAGGGGACCCCACTATTAGAGAAATTTAAAAGAACATAAAACCAAAGTTTTAAATTGAAAGAGATATCAATTTTCTCCGGGAATTCTTGACAAAACAAGTTTGGCTTCATATTTTATTTAGCTTTAACCGTAACAAAACATTAACAAACAGTAAAAGAACTAATCCAAGAGATCAACAATTGATGTATCACTTTCGTTACCAATATCTTCTTCCAATTCGAGAGGGACCCCACTATTTTTTCAACCCCCTCCAGACGACCCCACTATTGAGAGGACCCCACTTATTGAGAGGACCCCACTAATAGAGAGGGACCCAACTATTAGAGAGGACCCACTATTAGAGAGGACCCCACTATTAGAGAGGACCCCACTAATAGAGAGGGACCCACTATTAGAGAGGACCCCACTATTAGAGAGGACCTTACTATTAGAGAGGACCCCACTATAGAGAGGACCCCACTATTAGAGAGGACCCCACTATTAGAGGAGAACCCCACTCAATAGAGTAAATACGG